CACGTAACTGAGGCACGAATAGTTGACAAGCCTGAGCACCGCGCAAGGTCAGTGGATGAAGAGAATGACGCATGGAAATCGTAACTGAAAATGTGCGGGTGTTGAGCTGCGGAGTGCATTATGAGCGTGGGAGAGAGAAGTGTCTTGCCCACCAAGAGCCAACGACGTGGTGTTATTTCGCAGGGCCAACATCACAGGCATGCAAAACAGTCTGGTAACCCTATTCGATTGTATGCAAAACCGTCGATACCCCAGTTCCACTGCGCAAATCTGTCTGGTACCGCCACTCAAAACACTGTGTGACGGCTGACGCAGCACAAAAAGGAAGCAATACGTGCAACATTCGAAAACGTTTTCAATTTCGTTTCAATCTATTCTTACCGCGCTTTGTTTGGCGCCTAACAACGATTCCTGTGGACAACTATTTTCCGTTGAATGTGCACGATAATTCCGACAGAAATAATCGTTGGAATGAGAGTAATATTTATATTGCTGCCGGAAACTGTTAGGGCATGCATGAAAAAAATAAAACCCCTAGGGACCTGGACTCATTTCAGGGAGGGATCAACCCTAAACACGGGAAAGGGCATTGTTTTTAGGGTTGATGCCTCCCGAGTCGCATCCCTTTCCGATTGGGTTTTATTTTTCCTGCAGGTGTAGCTACCAGTGTTGCTCAAATGGCAGAACAATCGCCCGAATAAATCGAATTTGAAAGGAAACAAAAGCGTGGTAAAAATCAGTTATTGAAATCAACAGAACCGCGATTCTAGCGCAATATGTCAATACCTCAAAAACCGCGGTATCGACGGTTTTGCATACAATCGAATAGGGTTACCAGACTGTTTTGCATGCCTGTGATGTTGGCCCTATTTCGCACCTGCAGTTTCGCGAACTGGTGGCGAGCTGAAGGATCAGTTGAATCAGAGGGAGCCTTACGAATCTTGGCGAATTGTGGAAACCAGAAGCTCTGTTGGCTTCTGTTCGCCAAACTACCCCACACCACATCCGCGCTGTCACATCTAAATGTGAGTCAGTCACAGCAATTTTGACACGTCAGTCATACCTTATCCGATTACTCTTCGCTATAGAAGTGATTGGTAAGAGCCTTAGCAATTTTGCCAATGTGGACTCAATATCGGCGGCAAGCAGATTGGATGTTGACCCAACACCAGTGACACCAATTCACTTAGCCGTTCTTTGTTTTGAAACGACGCCATCGAACAGAACCGTAGTGAATCGCACTTCCTTCCCAATTTATTACGCGCGAGGCTGTTGGGCTGCGAACTGCGCCACTGTACATCGAACAGAACCGTTGTGGCTTCGCACTTCCATCTCAATTTGGCACGTGCGGGGAAGACCTGCAGAGACAATGGGAAGGGGGAGACATTGTTGTGCTGTTTGGGCGTATGTTTCTACAATGTTTCAGCAATGGCTACTCGTCTGAACACTGCTTGAAGTGCCCTTAGTCATTGCTCGTGCAATGGTCGGGGCGCGTAGTTGGGGACAACTTATATTTGGGCATTGGATGTGGGCTTGCGAATTTAGTCTGCAGACTAGAATGTTTTAGCCAGGAAACGAAGGACTTTTACACAGTGAGCCCACCAGGCCTTGAGCGTTGCGTGTGGCAGCTTCACGCGTCACATCTTGGCTGAATGACGTGGCAATGCCGAGCACACGAATGGATGGGCATTTCAAAGGCGCGGGCCGCCAAAGCGTCGTCTGAATGGGCCGACGGAAAAGGAGAGGAGGGAGGGGCGAGATTGACGATACCAAACTCATGTGACGATATGTGAGGTGCTTCAAAAACCTTCAAATGACAATGAGAGGAAGGAGCGAAGACAGGCAACCAGCCAGGAACGAGGCACGCCGTCTCAGAGAAACATGGTTGCGACGTTGTAACGCTGAGACGTTTCACAACACTTGGACTGACCCACCTATGCCTGGAGACGCGTAGATCGTAGCGCGCGCGTCTGGAGCCATGTGCTACTGGGAATTTGAGCTGGGAAAGTCGAAGCTGAAGGTACTTCGAAGCCGAAAAGTAAGTAGCGTCCTTTGACCATATGTTGGGGTCAAATCTGTCAGTGGTGAGAGGGAGCCAAATGAAGAGTTGGCGAAGAGTTGTTTCCTGCGAACACGTTACCGCTAGTCGTTCGTCCGTACACGAAAGGGCTTGGGACGAATTTGTTTCTTCGAAAATATGTCGGCTTCGTCGTCCATGTGGCTCAACGAACGAAACGGTAACACAAGTCGAGTGGACTTGCTGGGCCAAATGGGTTCCTCCACGACGAAATGCGGCGAACCTCAGCGAAAAGACAGCGAAACCACGGCAGAAGAACCAAGCCCGAGATCCAGAATCCACCATCTTCAGTACGAGGCACAAGAGTTGCCGTCACAAATCAACCTCCCTTCATCCAGATTCCAGATCCAGCCTTCACCTCCATTGCTCTTCCATACCACACTAGGCACTTGTTTCCCAATTGCTCTAGTCATTAGTTCGTAGGACCGTGCGAACGGCTTTAGTTTCCTAATTGATCTACCTTAACGTAGTTCACAGCAACTTGAGAACAAGGTCTCAAGCTGGAACAGATCCATCGTCCAAGTTGCGAGCATCATTCAAACGACTGACGACCTCATCTGCCTCAGCTTCCGTTGAGATACCACGAGTCACGACACACTCGTTAATAGAGTCTAGGCTTCAAGGTCGCTGCATCCCGTTCGTTTATAGGTCCTTAGTAATATCGTCTGCTAGAGAAATGATGCAGTCAACGACCTTCCCGACGAAGTCCTCTCTAGGATACTATGGCATTGTGAGGAGTCAACACCTAGGAAACCCGACAGTGACGCGTTATGGTCTCGGCATTCATTGTCGCCGAAGCCACTGTACCTTCGCTCGATCGTGTTAGAAGACGAAAATGATCTCAGTCCCAAGGAAGAGTCGTATCCAGTATCGTCCCCCTCCGCCTTTCCAACCGCTGCCTGGATCTTCCTCGTGTCTTCGGTGTGCCGTCGTTGGCGCGATGTAGCTCACCGTGACGTCTCCACCCTCCTCGTCGAACGAAGTAGTTCGATTCCCCTCCAACAACTCTCGAATGCCGTCGCGTGCTTCCCGAACCTCACCCATCTCCATCTGTGCGACGACAGTGTGGGAAATCTAGACGACTCCTTCCTCGCTCACCTCGCATCATCCTGTCCTAAGCTCAAGATTTTTCACGTGGGACGCGGGATCACTCATCATCCGGACAATCTCGAACCGAAGGAAGAGCACCCGATCACCGAAGCTGGCTTGGATTGCTTCTTCCAGCGATGCACTCAGCTGGAGCAGCTTTCACTGTTCTGCCTCCATCGGGACACTGAGCTACCCGCTTCCTTCGTCCACCTCACGCGTCTCCACACCCTGGCGTTAACAGCTGCATCCGCCTTGGAAGCTCCAGATTTGGAGAGGCTCAGCTCGCTCACCAATCTCCATATCGCCTGGAGGGAATTAAACAAGGAACGACTCTCGAATGTACGTCGCCTTCCCAGCATCACCAGCGTTTCACTCTCTGCCGGGCCCACGTTTGATGTCGGATTGCTGTTGAATTGGCCACTGACCAGTCTAGAACGGCTGCAGATATCAGACTGCGGAGAATTGGAGCAACTCCCGGCCAGAATCGCGGAGTTGCTGCCGCGTCTGCGTGAGCTGACCGTTTCCAGGTGCGAGGCCTTGGAGGAGCTGTCGGAGGGTTTCTGTTCCCTGAAGCACCTCGAGACCTTGGCAGTTATCGATTGCGAGCACTTCCGCTGCCTACCTGAAAGCCTTGGGAGATTGACTGCCCTGAAAACGTTGGTTCTGGAAGAGCTGTCGCTGGCGAGCCTGCCTGACTCCATCTGCCAGCTCAGCTCGCTGGAGACTTTCTTTCTGCTCTCGTGCGACTCAATTGAGCTGCCAGCAGACCTCTGCTGCCTCACAGCTCTCACGACTCTCTGCCTGGGGTACGTGGCACTTCCAGCGGACATAGGACGCCTGAGGAACCTCCACACGCTGCTTCTGAGAGACAGCTTCAAATCTCATCTCCCGTCCTCGTTATCGGAGATCTCCTCGCTGACAAGGCTTGAGCTGCACGTGTGCGGCGTGGAGCTGCTGCCAGAGGGCGTGGGGTCGCTCCGCAATCTGCGGGAGCTGCATGTTTCGTACTGCCATCAGCTCACGGCCCTTCCAGAGTCTGTGACGGGCCTGACTGCCCTTGAAGCTCTCTCACTCGCTGACTGCGAGGATCTGGCCTCGGCGCCCAAGAGGCTGGACGGCTTGACACGGCTCAAACGGCTGGAGGTGGCCCGATGTGACATGATGGCACGGCCTCCTGAAGTCCTGCCGGCTTCGATTGAATGGCTGAGTTGGGGAGGTAACTGTCAGGCCATGGCTCTGCCAGACGTCTCCACGCTGACGGGGCTTCGGACGCTTCGTCTGGACAAGGTTTTTGTGGCATGTGGGGTCGCTGTGAGCAGGAGCCTATCGCACCTGGAGCACTTGGAGCTGAATTTGGCAGCTAAGGAGCTTCCATTCGCCTTGACGTTCCTCTCCCGCCTGCGCACGCTGGTTGTTGACTGCGCAATAAGGGCGCGTAACTTTTTCACTTTTCATCGTCCGGACGGAGGACCCGTACGGACTTTTGTAGGGTTACGGATTTCGCCTTATTTCGTTATTGAGTTCGTGAGACCCCTTGCGACATCGCGATCGTCCGTACGAGTTCTGACACTTTTCTGCTTGTTCATCGTCCGTTCTACACTCCTGACGTCGTCCGGACAGCATTTCGGACCGTCCGGAACTCCTGCAACGTCATTGGTGCGCGAAGCACATTTTTTATCAGTTCTGGCGACTCGGTTTCCTGCTCGCCAGAACCACGTTCTGACGGAAAGGCAACACAGAAGTTCCACTATCGTCCGAACGGGCACACAGACTCACAGCACTACAAAAAAGCGAACTCTCTACAGTCCGGCTTTTTTCTGACACAACTTCATGCATGCGAAGCGGCCGATTTGCTGACGAGGTGGGTTATAAGCGTTACTGTTTCGCTCAAAATGCAGTTTTCGCAAGAGCAAAAAAGTGTCATAATAGGGGTACGGACTCATCGTCGTCCGTACCACATCCCCAACCGTCCGGACGGAGCTCCGTTCGGACGATTTGGGGCCCCCATCCGGACATTTGCCCGAAACGGAAAAATTTACGCGCCTTAAGCCTCCGAGGGTTGCCGGTCGATATCGGGTCAGCACTGCCGCAGCTGCGGAAGCTGAAGCTGGCACATGCGGACGAGTTGAGGGAGCTGCCAGCGAGTGTGAGTGCGCTGCAGCATCTGACCTTCTTGGGGGTTTTCGACGCGCCCAACCTGGTTTCTCTTCCGCCTGACATCGGTGCCTTATCCCGGTTGCGTGAGCTGCACCTCATTCGCTGCAAGAAGCTTAAGCATCTGCCTGCCTCTCTCACCCAGCTTACCCGCCTGAACCAGCTGGCCGTTTCAAACTGCCCCATCCGCTCCCTGTGCCCCACCGCTGCACAGTTCCAGCAGCTCAGATCCCTCGATTTGTCAGGCTGTGCGCAGCTGAAGGCATTGCCTTGGGACGTGGGTGAGGTGAAAGCTCTTCGGATGCTGAATGTGGATGAATGTAGGCGTGTGAAGGACATTGATGGGTATGTGGTCCCCTCGAGCATCTATGAGGTGTAGTGTATGGGCTGCGAATATACAAGTAGGTGGGTATTAGTAAGGTAATATGGCATGGCATGTACTGTAGCATCTCTTTGATGGGCTGTTCCCTTCGCAGTACGACCAGGAAGGCAAGGCGGGGAACGAATACAATCTGAAGAGACAGTTAGGGAGAGATCTGAACACCTGGACGAATGATGCTGAGGGTGATTACTTCCCTGCCTTACTGCTGCTGCTGCTGTGCTACTGTACCATTGCTGCCATCTCTGTTACTACGGTACCTTCATTTATTACTCACACTGCCGCCGTTCTCATCACAAATTCCATAGCTGTTATCACATCCTCGTTTCATGGCCCTTTTTTTGTTTACTTAGGCACTAGATACTTATCATCGGCTTCCAAGTGAAAGATTACAGGGCTGGGTCATGCCTAAAACGTGTAATAGGGTGCATGCACCGCATATGTTTTGAAACGGCTGAACTATTCCGAATATTCTGCTCTGCACCAAGCCCCATAATCTTAATCAGCCTGGACTTGACACAGAAAAGTGCTGAAATACACCAACCAGCACCTCAGCAGCACCAACAGCCATAGCCACTTGCAGGAGAGAGAGCCATGGCACCATGCAGCACAGAGAGCCATGGCACCATGCAGCACAGAGAGCCATGACCACTTGCACGAAAGGAGTCGGGTTATTGTGGCTGCCACCTCAGCAGCACCAACAGCCATGGCCACTTGCACTGGCGGCACCCCCACCCACCCATGGATTGGGACTGTTCCAACTGATGGGAAGCGGGAGGGTAGCTGTATGGAAAAGTATGTGACGGAGGCGAGAATGGGGGAGGTGTGAGAGGTGTGAGAGGTGAGCAAGGTGAGCGAGGGGAGGCAACGAGGGCATTTCAGCATGCAGATGCCAGCGGGCTTGAATGCTGGGGTTGGACGGAGAGCACGGGGCAGCCTGGAGCAACCATACATGCCGCCACCTCAACTGCCGTGAAAAGTCTCGAGATCGAATCTTGAGACCCCTCAGGCAAGCATCAAATGCTGGCACGGGTGCAGGAAAAGGGTACGAATGGCAGGTGCGAGATGAGGTGACTGAGAGAGAGTGAGCTGAGGGCGTGAATGGAGAGAGGTGCATGGTGAAGAGTGTGAGGGGGGTGAATGGAGACCTGTCCACTTGTTGTGACTTGCCTGGCCGAGGCTGCCCACGGCTGTAAGGCCCCATCTAACCTGCTCTCCATGCCATCATCCTCGCATACCCACTCCCACGCCTTCTGCTGCGCAGCTGTATGTAAGCCCCCCTCTAACCTGCTCTGCCCTCTGCTCTGCCCTCTGCTCTGCTGCCCGACCATCTACTGCCATGCCGTGTCACCATCCACGCCGCTGCTCCTCAAGGCGTGTCAAACATGCAAGCACTTTGCCATGCCACCACACAGCTACCTACCAAGTTCATGCAACAATAGCCGGTACCACCACTACATCTCCTCCCAGGTCTGGCACTCCTTTTCTGGCAGGGACAGAGCGCACTTCTGCTGGGGACACTGACTGCGGTATTCACAATGAGCCACGGCCACCTGGCAAGCAGGCTAGAACGCATCAACTCTGACCTGGCAAGGTGTGAGTAAATAAGTGGTACCACAACAGCGGCACCTTAAACCCTGGTTCCATGTGCCACAGGGGGTGGCAGGCGAGGCAACACTGCCTGCACCTGCTGCCATGCTGCTACATTCATGTGCTGACTGCCCTCACAAGCGGCTCACACACTGCAAGGCCGCACAGGCTGCTGCCCGTGTCTCTCCTTCGCCTTGTATCGCCGAATGGCTTGCTGCCAGTGCATCTGTGCCCACGTGCAATGGCTGGCCAGAGCAGTGGGCGGAGAGGTGAAGGCAAGGGTCAGGGAAAGGGGTGTGAAAGGAAGGCGGATGAGGTGGCTTGGGGAGTGAGTAAGGCAAAGATGACAGGGCAACAGATGGTTACCACTAGTGCAGGGAAACACGTCGCGAGGCAAAGGAAACAGCTTTGGTGCTGAACTGCATAATGGCCTATTGGCCTTTAGCACATTACACGGCCTGGAGAGGCGATTCTAGTCTGCTTTACCTGCTGAGCCAATTTCTCTTCTTCACTGTGATGTGGAATAGTTGGAATGTGAGTGGCGAAGGAGGCCTGGCTTATGACGCACGACTCATTGGTTATGATGCTGCTGCAGGAAAAGGGAGGTGGAGTGTGGGGAGAATGGGGGAGGGAGAGGAGATGGAGGGGAAGCTGGATGAATGTATGCGACAAGGAATCATTGTGACTGATTCTGATTCTGGTGTTGAGAGTGTGAGGATATGCGGCGAATGCATAAAGTGGAGGCATGGATAAACGGTAAAAGGGTTGGGGAAAAAAAAACTGGGAGCGGAAGGAAGACAGATGAGATGTTGACCTTGGAACTACTTACAGTAGATGTTACGAGAGGGATGAGTAAGTGGAGGTGCGGAGTGGTGGAGTGAAGCACCTGGTGAGTCCAAGAAGTGCTTCCGCTGAAGCAAATGCCTGCCCTGGTCCTAGAATGCTGATGCTGAGGGTCATGGGGAGGGGATTGAGGGATTTGATTTGAGTGGATTGTAGAGCGGATGGGATGATAACATGGCACCTCACATGGTGTTATGCCATATGGATTGGTGATATGACACGTCATGATGACTAGACACGTGGAATGATGACATGGCACTCAATGAACACAATGATAGAACCACTTCTTCACCTACCTCTCCCCTTTCCCCAACACATGGGAGGTGCGAGAATGTGAGCCAATGCATACCATGCCACGTCAGCTGCAATCCCAGTAGCAGGTGAGCCATCTCCCTCTGACACGGCTAGAAGGAATGCCAGCGTGTGCCACCGCTCTTGACAGTTGACCGCTCTCATGCGTCCGTCCTGTCCTCACTGCCATCCCACAGTCACCATGCCTTCCGCCTTCTGCCGCCATTCAGACAGCAGCAACCTCGGACACAAGGGAGGGACTCTGAGAGAGAAACGACATGGGGGGTTTGGGGGACGAGCGGCACAGCAAGGGAGGTGAGGGAATGGATGGAGGGGAGGGAAGGGAGGGAGTGGAGCGAGGATATGTGGTGCATGAAACAAGAGGCTTGGAGTCAAGCACTCCTGCAAGCACTCCGGCAAGCACTCTTCTGGGCAAGGTTAGTCATGGGTCCCTCCCAGCTGCATCATGCTGATCTGCTCTCGCCTCCTCACCACTTCGTGAAAGAACAGGGATATGCGGTAGGTGGGATGCGGGGAGGAAAGGTACGAGAGCTGCTTTTGAGAGTTCTCAAGAAAGAAGGTTGAGAGCAAGAACAGAATATTCGGTAGGGGGTGGGGAAAGGGGGACGGAAAGGGAAGGCGCAAGAGTGAAGCGGCAGCAGGGAAGTGGTCATACTGCTGGGGTTGGTGCGGTTGAGAGCGGTGCTGTGGCGCCCTGAACAACAGGCGCGTCTGGGCGTCCTGCTGCTATGCACTGGGAGAGAGAGGGAAAGGGGTGGGGGAGAAGCGGGATGAGGAGGGGGGAAGGAGAGGGGGGAGAAGCGGGATGAGAAAGGGAGAAGGAGAGGTGGGAGAAGCGGGATGAGGAGGGGGGAAGGAGAGGGGGGAGAAGCGGGATGAGGAGTGGGGAAGGAGAGGGGGGAGAAGCGGGATGAGAAAGGGGGAAGGAGAGGTGGGAGAAGCGGGATGAGGAGGGGCGAAGGAGAGGGGGGAGTAGCGGGATGAGGAGGGGGGAAGGAGAGGGGGGAGAAGCGGGATGCGTAAGGGAGATGGAGAGGGGGGAGAAGCGGGATGAGGGGAGGGTTTAGGGATGAGGAGGGTGGGGGGAGGGGAGGGGGAATTAGGGGAAGGGATGAGGGGGCCCACCAGGAAAAGAAGGAATTTTACACAGTGAGCCCACCAGGCCTCGAGCGTTGCGCGTGGCAGCTTCACGCGTCACATCTTGGCTGAATGACGTGGCGATACCGAGCACACGAATGGACGGGCATTTCAAAGGCGCGGGCCGCCAAAGCGTCGTCTGAATGGGCGGACAGAAAAGGAGAGGAGGGAGGGGCGAAATTGACGATACCAAACTCATGTGACGATAAGTGAGGTGCTTCAAAAACCTTCAAATGACTCTGAGAGGAAGGAGCGAAGACAGGCAACCAGCCAGGGACGAGGCACGTCGTCTGAGAGAAACATAGTTGCCGCGAAACATAGTTGCCGCGAAACATGGTTGCTGAGAATGTTGAGAGAAACATGGTTGTTGATACTGTTGAGAGAAACATGGTTGCGACGTTGCGACGCTGAGACGCTGAGAGATATTGAACTCGGAATTCAAGCTCTGATGTTGAGACGTTGAGCAACCTAGAGGAGGTTTCCGCGAGGGAAAGGGAAAGGCGGAAGGAAGGCTCGCTGTGGCTACAGAATGTCCCGAGGTCGCAAACGTGGCGCTCGACATAAGGGATGAAGCTCGGTGACTCGCGCGGCGAATAATGGTTCATGTGCTTCATCACAGTGTGTTTCGAGCTGATTCGGAAACCAATTGTTCTGGTGCTCGAAGAAGTCCGTGCCTCGAAGATTTCCTAAGACGCGTAGCGGCGAGTTGAAGCGAAAGCGTAATAGGCCTGCTGTACCTGATCGGTGGTAACCACATCTGTGAGTGGTCCCGTTTCACGACACTTGGACTGACTCACCTATGCCTGGGGACGCGTTTATAATAACGTAGATCGTAGCGCGCGTGTCTGGAGCCATGTGCTACTCGGAATTTGAGCTTAGAAAGTCGAAGCTGAAAAGTAAGTAGCGTCCTGGTATTGAAAACAAATAAGAAACTGTTGAAACTGTTCTGATAAAGAAACTGTTCTGTTGGATTGAAGCAAATATGTTAGGGTGAAATCTGGGTCTAGTGTCAGAGGTGTGAGCGAGCGGAATGAAGAGTTGGCGAAGAGCTGTTTCATGCCAACGTGTTACCAAGACTCGTTCGTCCGTACACGAACGGGCTTGGGGCGATTTTGTTTCTTCGAAAATCTGTCGGCTTCGTCGTCCATGTGGCTCAACGAACAAAACGGTAACACAAGTCGAGTGAACTTGCTGGGTGGGCCACATGGGTTCCTCCACAACGAAATGCGGCGAGCCTCAGCGACAGACAAGCAGCGAAACCACAGCAGAAGAACCAAGCCCAAGATCCAGAATCCACAACCAAGCCTCAGTACGAGGCACGAGAGTTGGCATCACAAATCAACCTCCCTTCATCCAGATTCCAGATCCAGCCTTCACCGCCATTGCTCTTCCATACCACACTAGGCACTAGTTTCCCAATCGCTCTAGTCATTAGTTCGCAGGACCGTGCGAACGGCTCTAGTTTCCTAATCGATCTACCTTAACGTAGTTCACAGCAACTTGAGAACAAGGTCTCAAGCTGGAACAGATCCATCGTCCAAGTTGCGAGCATCGTTCAAACAACTGCCGAACGACCTCATCTGCCTCAGCTTCCGTTGAGATACCACGAGTCACGACACACTCTTTAATAGAGTCTAACTTCAAGGTCGCTGCATCCCGTTCGTTTATAGGTCCTTAGTAATCTCGTCTGCTAGAGAAATGATGCAGTCAACGACACATATTAACGACCTTCCCGACGAAGTCCTCTCTAGGATACTATGGCATTGTGAGGAGTCAACACCTAGGAAACCCGACAGTGACGCGTTATGGTCTCAACATTCACTGACGCCGAAGCCACTGTACCTTCGCTCGATTGTTTTAGACGAAGATGATCCCAGTCCTGAGGAAGAGTCGTATCCAGTATCGCCCCCCTCCGCCATTCCAACCGCTGCCAAGATCTTCCTCGTGTCGTCGGTGTGCCGTCGTTGGCGTGATGTAGCTCAGCGTGCCGTCTCCACCCTCCTCGTCGAACGAAAACGTTCCATTCCCCTCCAAGAACTCTCGCATGCCGTCGCGTGCTTCCCGAATCTCACCCATCTCCATCTGTGCGACGACAGCGTGGGAAATCTAAACGACGCCTTCCTCGCTCACCTCGCATCATCCTGTCCTAAGCTCAAGATTCTCCACGTGGGACGCGGGATCACTCAGCATCGGGACTACGTCGGACCGAAACAGAAGCACCCGATCACCGAGGCTGGTCTGGATCGCTTCTTCCAGCGATGCACTCAGCTGGAGCAGCTTTCACTGCTCTGCCTCCATCGGGACGTCCACCTACCCGCTTCCTTCTTCCACCTCACGCGTCTTCACACCCTGGCTTTAACAGCCGCCTCCGCCTTAGAAGCTCCAGATCTGGAGAGCCTCGGCTCGCTCACCAATCTTCATATCGCGTCCCCGGAGTTGAACGAGGAGCAACTGGCCAACGTGCGTCGTCTTCCCAGCATCACCAGCGTTTCACTCTCTGCCGGGCCCACGTTTGATGTCGAATTGCTGTCGGATTGGCCATTGACCAGTCTTGAACGGCTGCAGATATCAGACTGTGGAGAATTGGAGCAATTTCCGGACAGCATTGCAGAAATGCTGCCGCGTCTGCGCGAGCTGACCGTTTCCAGGTGCGAGGCCTTGGAGGAGCTGCCGGAGGGTGTCTGTTCCCTGAATCACCCGGAGACCTTATCAATCATCAATTGCGAGCACTTCAGCTGCCTGCCTGAAAACATTGGGAGTTTGACTGCCCTGAAAACCCTGGTTCTGGGTACTCTACCGCTGGCATTCCTCCCTGACTCCGTGTGCCAGCTCAGCGCCCTGGAGACCTTCTTCCTGCTCTCGTGCGACTCAATCTGCGAGCTGCCAGCAGGCTTCTGCTGCCTCACGGCTCTCACGACTCTCTGCCTCGGGTGCGTGGCACTTCCAGCGGACATAGGACGCCTGAGTAACCTCCACACGCTGCTTCTCAGAGACAGCTTCGAGTCTCGGCATCTCCCGTCGTCGTTATCGGAGATCGCGTCGCTGACGAGGCTTGAGCTGAACCTGTGCGGCGTGGAGTTGCTCCCAGAGGGCTTGGGGTCGCTCAGCAACCTGCGCGAGCTGCACCTCTCGTGCTGCTATCAGCTCACGGCCCTTCCAGAGTCCGTGACGGGCCTGACTGCCCTTGAAGCTCTCTCTCTCGCTGACTGCAATAACCTGGCCTCGGTGCCCACAAGGCTGGACGGCTTGACACGGCTCAAGCAGCTGGAGGTTGCCCGATGTGACATGCTCATACGGCCTCCTCTAGTCCTGCCGGCTTCCATTGAATGGCTGAGTTGGGGAAGTATCTGGAGTCACGAGCAGGCCATGGCCCTGCCAGACGTCTCCGAGCTGACGGGGCTTCGAACGCTCCGCCTGAACGAGTTTTCTGTGGCGTGTGGGGTCGCTGTGAGCAGGAGCCTATCGCACGTGGAGCATTTGGAGCTGAATTTGGCAGGCGTTGCGGAGGAGCTTCCATTGGCCTTGACGCTCCTCTCCCGCCTGCGCACCCTGATTATTGACAGCGCGATGAGTCTCCAGAGGCTGCCGGCTGATATCGGGTCAGCACTGCCGCAGCTGCGGAAGCTGAAGCTGGCACATGCGGACGAGTTGAGGGAGCTGCCAGCGAGTGTGGCAGAACTTGAGAACCTCACGAGCTTGGTTTGCTACGCGCCCAAACTGCCTTCTCTGCCGCATGCTATCGGTGCTTTATCCAGGCTGCGGGAGCTGCACCTCATTGGCTGCGAGCAGCTTGAGCAGCTGCCTGCCTCTCTCACCCAGCTTGCCTGCCTGAACAAGCTGTCGATTCTAAACAGCCCCATCCGTTCCCTATGTTCCACCGCTGCACAGTTCACGCGGCTCAGATCCCTCGATTTGTCAGGCTGTGCGCAGCTTGAGGCATTGCCGGGGGATTTGGGTGCGCTTAAGGCACTGCGGATGCTGAAATTGTTCAGGTGTGGGCTTGTGAAGGACACTGATGGGTCTGTGCTCCCCAGGAGCATCAATGAAGTGTACGGGCTGAAAATATACATTTAGGTAGGCACCAGTAAGATTCTATGGCTTAGCTACTGTATGATGTAATGACTGGCCACTGCGGATAGGAAGGCGGGGAGGAATGAATACAATCGTAACAGATAGTTAGGGACTCCCTAATAGGGAGGGCTTTGAACACCTCGGGGAATGATGCTGAGGATGATTACTTCACTGGCTGACTGCTGCTGCTGGTGTTACCACCTCTGCCATCTCTGTTACTGCCTTCACCACTGACACTGCCACCATTTTCATCACAATTTCCATAGCATCAACTTCCATCATATCCTCATTTCATAGCCTTTATTTTGTACTTCCACTACCTATATCATTGGCTTTCCTCACTTAGTAACAACAAGCATCCCTAAAACATGTGAATGATCACTGGGATGGGGCATGCCTAAAACATGTCAGGTGCATGCACGGCATCCAGTATGTTTTGGTACGGCTGAACTCTTCCGGATATTCTGTTCTGCAGCAAGCCCCATGAACACAACCAGCCTGACCTGGACACAGTAAAGAGCTGGAAATTCAACAACCATGGATTCTTTTGTAGCTGCCACCACAGCAGCATCGACAGCCATGGCCACTTGCACTAGCGGCACCCCCACCCGTGGGTTGGGACCGTTTCAACTGATGGGAGGCGGGAGGGAAGCAGTATGGAAAAGCATGTGAGGGAGTCGAGAGAGGTGAGGGAGGCGAGAGGTGAGGGAGGTGAGAATGGGGGAGGTGAGGGAGGTGTGAGAGGTGAGTAAGGTGAGGGAGGTGAGGCAAAGAGGGCGTTTCAGCATGCAGATGGCAGCGGGCTTGAATGCTGGGGATGGACGGAGAGCAAGGGGCAGCCTGGAGAGCAACCATTCATGCGCCACCATTTGGCAGCCTGAAAAGCCTCGAGATCGACTCTTGAGACCTCTCAGGCAAGCCTCAAATGCTGGCATGGGTGCAGGACAAGGGCGCAAATGGCAAGGTGCGAGTTGAGGTGACTGAGAGAGAGTGAGCTGAGGGCACTGAGAGAGAGTGAGCTGAGGGCGTGAATGGAGAGAGGTGCATGGTGAAGAGTGTGAGAGGGGTGAATGGAGACTTGTCCACTTGTTGTGACTTGCCTGGCCGAGGCTGGTCATTGGCCCGGGCTGCACGAGGCTGACCTGCCCTGCTCTCCATGCCACCATCCTCGAATGTCCACTCCCACGCCTTCTGCTGCGCACTTGTATGTAAGCCCCCCTCTAACCTGATCTGCCCTCTGCTCTGCCTGCTGCTCGGCCATCTGCTGCCATGCCATGTCACCATCCACGCCGCTGCCCCTCAGTCAGCACTGCCCCTCAGTCAGCACTGCCCCTCAGTCAGCACTGCCCCTCAGTCAGCACTTCCCCCCAGCGCTGCCTGCAGCAACAGGTTCTGCAGGGGCACGCAGCGCCACTCCCGCCAAGTAATTTGGGCGCAGAGAGGAGGAGCAGGAGGCGGGAGATGCGCCACCGCTGCTGCCATTGCCGCTGCTGACGGCACTGCGGCTGATGCTGCTGGTGCTGGTGCTCGTGCTGGCGGCTGGGTTCAGAAACGATTGGCTGATGGCAGCAGACAGGGGGAAAAGTCTTGGTTCGGAAAGGAGGAGCACGAGGCGGGAGATGCCGCTGTTGCCGCTGTTGACGGAACAGCTGCCGGAGTTCGAGCTGGCAGCTGTGGGTTCCAAAATGATTGGCTCACGGGAGAAGATAGGGAGACGTGGGTGGAACGGGAGAAAGTAGGGAGAGGACATAGGGGGTGGTGGGAACCGAGAGGAGAGAAGGTACAGTGTATCCACACTCAAATGGATCACTAATGCGAATAAATCCAGCTGCCGGGATTTATTCAGATAATACACGAAGAGATAAACTAGAGGTGGGAGGGCTAAAACAGGAGATGGAAGAAGAAGGACGTTTGTGCGCCGGAGAGAAAAAGCCAAGCTGATGTACCAGAAAAAAGAGGATGCGGAAAGTGGGCGTACTGCTGGATGTGCGGCGGTTGAAAGCGTTTCCGTGTGGCCTTGATTGACAGGCGCGTCTGGGAGGCCTGCTGCTATGCAGCGGGACGGAGAGCGGGTGTGGATCGACACAGACAGATAGATGCGGCAGGGAAGCCGGAGGGAGACGTGGGTGGCCGACTGAAAGTACTATAGTCTGATTAGAGACTCGGTGTTTCAGAATCAACAACATCAAAACAACACGCCGTTGCTGGCAAACGGTACGTCAAAGTCAGCAGTCAGGCGGTGAGCCAACATGGAAGCAGTGAGTTCAACATCGATACAGTCACAACAGCATCGGCACAAATGGTCGGCTCAGCAGCACACATTCTCACAGCTTACACCAGAAACGAAATTCTTGTTTAGAAGAGGCATAGTCAAACCACCAGGTTGAGCGTTGCATGTGATGTGACAGCTTGACACGTCACGTAGTGGCGGAATGACGTGGCAATGCCGAGCATGCACGAGATGACGGCCCTGGCAATGTTGTATGTTTTGCTAAGGCGTCGCCTGGACGGCGGAACCGAGGAAAACAAGGGGAAAGGCGGAAGCTGGGAGGAATGGGGGGGAAGCGGGGGGAGGGAGAGGCGGAGGCGGAGAATACGGGGAGGAAAAAGACTGATGCTATCTGGGATAGCTAATGGGAATTTGTAACAGCGTTTTCCGGACCGGACATTTTACGGGATTATCCAAATAGACTTATCACCATAGTTGCGAAGACGCTAAAGAAGAAAGACAGACTGAGAATATAGAGACGAGACGGCTAGATCTACTGAATCGGCTATGCTATACCTTTATTTCTCGAGCCGCGTTGAATTTGTACTCCGGCTTTAACACAGTACAGAAATAGTTCAAGTTGAGAATTTTAGTAGGAGAGGGGGCTTGGTCAAGGCGGATGCGAATAATGCTTGCACCGGATCGGGTAACCACGTCTGAGCATGACCATGATTCATGTCCGCCATTATCTTCTTCGAGATCCAGCAGTGCCTGTCGCAGTAGGTGCTAGGAGTGGGAACGAACCAGCTGCTGGGATGGGGATGGGTGTGGAGCGGCAAGGGAATCACCGTGGAGGGAGGATTTCAGGTCCAAGTGGAACAAGATCAGTTTCTACGACGATAATGAGCAGTTTGAGGAATTCACGACACTTAATTTGAGACGCGTTATGAACGTCGATCGGAGCTGGCGCGTCTGGAGCCATTAGATTCTCGGAGTGTGAGCTTAGAAAGTCGCAGGTCGGGGTACTGGGAGTGGAAAAGTACCATATTCTGTTCAAGAGAAGCGAATGCTGAGGTGAAATCTGGGTCTCCAGCGTCAGCCATGTGAGGGAGCCAAATGAAGACTTGGCGAAGAGTTGGTTCCGGAAATGAACGAAACTTGGCAAAGAGTTGGTTACTACGATTGTGTTACCGAGTCTCGTTCGGTCCGTACACGAAAGGGCTTGGGCGAAGGGTTTCGGCATCATCGTCGAGATTCGACTCAACGAACGAAACGGTAACACGAGCCGAGTGAATTTGTTGGATCACAGGTTTCCCCCTCAAAGACAGAGTCGGTGACTTGTCCGCGACTGGTCCGCGAAGGGGCCCGCCTGACCACAATTCGGACCAGGCAGACACACTTACCGCTCCCTTGAGTGAGCTGGAACGACCCTTCGAACGCGGTATTTCCCGGACCAATTGTGCTTCATTCGTCGCTAAACGAAACCGTGCCACGTCTAAGATTTTCCCAGATTTCGTTGAGCTCGCTGATTTTCAGTTGGACCACGCAAGGTTTCGAACCAATACGAATCGGGGCGAAACTTAAACAGCGAAAAGATGGCGGCGAAATAGGAAGGTGCTTTAGCGCAGCAAAACCAATTTGGCAAGGTATTTGGGTAACCCTTTCCTGTAAAACTGACGGAGTATCCACCCTTACATGAGGCATGCGTTGCGTTGCGTTCAAGGGAAGGCAGCGCAATGACCATCACGAACGAGTCACGTCCAGGCTTGTATAAACTCGGTCTAGGATCCAAGGTCGCTGCGTACCATCCTTTCACAGATCCTTTGTAATCTCGTCTGCTAGGGAAATGATGGAGACAGCGAGACATATTAACGACCATCCCGACGACGTCCTCGCTAGGATACTACTATGGCATTGTGCGGAGTATACTACACCTTCGAAACCCGACAGTGACACGTTATGGTCTCGGCATGCATGGTCGCCGAAGCCACTGTACCTTCGCTCGATCGTTTTAGAAGACGAAGATGATCTCAGTCCCGAGGAACATCGCGGAAAAGGAAAATTGCGATTTGGGGGGTCCGAAGGTTTTTCTGCGAAAAACCTGCGACTTAGTTGCGCGAAGTGTACAAAAAACAACGCACGCAAAATGCAACAATCCGCACACCAGTGTCGAGGGTTTTGACTGAAACAAAACAGTCACGCAAAAGTGTCCATTCCGTCAACATTTTCGCGTCGTGCGGTGACGCACGGTCAACACAGATTACAAGCGGTTTAGCACTGTGACAATGTTTGACAAATGTAACAACAGAACAAACGAAACAATGCGAAGCAACGAAACCAAGCGAGTTTGTACAGCTGGAAACCCGCTTTCGCTTTTTCCAAATCTGAACCCAAACCAACCAACTCCAAACCTCAGACGGTCGATGTCTTCTTCAGAAGTGTGACGTGTGAGGCTAAAAATCATTTTCACCCAATCCGCACACGCCGAAATATACACGTCAGCCACCCAACCAAACATCCACCGAATATGCTCTCACCATCTCCCAGAGAATCCATCTCCCACCATTCACACAACCAACTTCGTTCTCCCCTCCCCTTCTTCATTGTTCCCTTTGATGTGCAGCAGGAGCGCGCTCCAAGTTCCTTCAAGCCGACAACTATGTGGCTTTTTAGAACGCCCTGACTAGGTTGCGTGCCAAGTATTCTAAAATTTTCCCTGCCATCCCTGTCCCTTTGTACATCCCTCTACTTCTCAGACGGCGGCTTCGTTCCGCCATCAACGTCGCGCTTCAGTAACTTCGCTGGCTGCTGGGGTACACGTGAGTCGCGGCGAGGAAGGACATTGTCACGCAACATCGCAGGTAAGTTTACAGTTGTTATCTCGCAGATGAAGTTGTCCTTATTTTATTTTACATGTATCTGCATGTTCATACTCGTCTCAATGTGACGTTTCCTAAAAGTATTTGACTTTTGGTGTCTAACTCTGCTTTTACTAACCCCGCTGACGCATCGTCAGCGGGATGCATAACAGCACCCTGTATTTGCATGTTTTGCAGAGTGTACCTAGTTTCGCAGGCTTACCGTCGCAGTGTGTTTATTTTTAGCCATTTAAGCACTTGACTCTACAAACCATCAACGATTAAAAGAAGGTGAGTACGAAACTGCATACTTTGCGTTTTTCAGGAGTACTCATCTCAGGGCTCTCGTTAGCAGACCAATTTGGTCTGATGGTCTGCGTTTCAGACTTAATTTTCTTATTTCAGATGATCTGTAAGACAAATGATTTTACTTCAGATGATCAGTAAGACAAATGATTTTACTTCAGATACATTTTCAGATCGCATACTATGCTTCATCTTAGACACCAGATAACGAGTACGATTCCGTCTGAAACCGACATTTCTGCCCACTTGTCCATAGGGCCACTAGTTAGGGTATCTGCCAGCCTGTATACATGCATGCGCAATGAATGCCTCGGTCCCGTAGCATCCGCGCTGGAGGAAACAGCACCGCTGGCAGCAGCTAACTACGTATGTGCAACGCTGCCAGCACTTTGTCGCTGCGTGGGTGTACGCGCCGATGCCAGCCACACCCAAGAGGCACCGACACCGTCATTTTGTGCAATGGGGTGTGACCTGTATGCATCCCGGATGCACGTAACTGTGGTCCCCGCCCAAACCCCGCACCGCGTAGGCCCCGTAGAATAGTTCATCTGTTTTTTCAGACTGGTATTAATGTTTCATCTTAGAGGTCAGACAAAAAAAAAAAGGCCAATCTGAGCGTAAGGATTTTTTTTTTTTTTACAGATACTGTCAGACAGGCCAGAATCCTAGCGAGAGCCCTGACTCATCTCCTATGCTGTGTTTGCATGTGCTGCAGAGCGTGCCTGGTTTTGCCGGCTTACTGTCAACCCGGAGTGCAGTACATATTTTTTTTCTTCACAATTCCAGCATACTCCAGTACTAAGAACCCCGATGGTGAGCATATAGTTTGGCTTTTAAAGTTTCAATTTCCATTCGTTTTCTAACTGGCAGAGCTTGCAGGGCTTCTTAGCCGTGCATTATGTGTAGTGTAGTACTATTTTCATTTGTATGCCTTGTAAGCTCAACGTTTAAAATAATAAATGTTTTAAACCACTAAAAGCACACACCAATACAGGAGATTCGTCAACCGGATACAGACGCTTTTGCCAGCCAATGAAATCCGATTCCTCACACCCCATTTTGCATCAGATTGGTCCACATGGCACGATTACGGGCATTGATATTGTCAGGATCCGACAGTTCACGTTAGCGTACAGAAACTGCCACGTCAGCATGTTTCAGGTTAATCTAGCGTACATTGTATGCCACGTGGCGCTGTCGTGACACTTTCGCACAGGTTGCTCAAGAGTGACGTTTTCCACCCCCATAGTTGCATTACCGTATACCTCACAATTGCACCGAAGTGTACAGTTTGTGTTGGGAATGTGACGGGAAAGTCACTTCGCAAGTTACTGACGCTACCACTGTTTACGAGTCAAACTTTTTTCTTGCGCGGAAAATGCAACTGGAAAGTTACGAAACAGTAACTTTTAGGTTTTTTTTCGCACTTCCCTTTTCCGCGATGAAGCGTATCCAGTATCGTCCCCCTCCGCCTTTCCAACCGCTGCCTGGATCTTCCTCGTGTCGTCGGTGTGCCGTCGTTGGCGCGATGTAGGTCACCGTGACGTCTCCACCCTCCTCGTCGAACGAAAACGTTCCATTCTCCTCCAAGAACTCTCGAATACCGTCGCGTGCTTCCCGAACCTCACCCATCTCCATCTGTGCGACGACAGCGTGGAAACCCTAAACGACACTTTTCTCAATCACCTCGCATGGGCGTGTCCTAAGCTCAAGATTCTCCACGTAGGACGCTGGATCACTCACCATCCGCACTATGTCGGACCGAAGGAAGAGCACCCGATCACCGAGGCTGGTCTGGATCGCTTCTTCCAGCGATGCACTCAGTTGGAGCAGCTTTCACTGCTCTGCCTCCATCGGGACACTGAGCTACCCGCTTCCTTTTTCCGCCTCACGCGTCTGCACACCCTCGCTTTAACAGCCGCCTCCGCCTTAGAAGCTCCAGATTTGGAGAGCCTCAGCTCTCTCACCAATCTTCATATGACCTGCAGGGAGTGGGAGCAACTCTCGAGTGTACCTCGTCTTCCCAGCATCACCAGCGTTTCACTCTCCGCCGGGCCCACGTTTGATGTCGGATTGCTGTCGGATTGGCCACTGACCAGTCTGGAACGGCTGCAGATATCAGATTGCATAGATTTGAAGCGGCTTCCGGACAGCATTGCGGAGTTGCTGCCGCGTCTGCGTGAGCTGACCGTTTCCAGGTGCGATGCCTGGAAGGAGCTGCCGGAGGGTTTCTGTTCCCTGAAGCACCTGGAGACCTTATTAATCATCTATAGCGAGCGCTTCAGCTGCCTGCCTGAAAACATCGGGAGTTTGACTGCCCTGAAAACCCTGGTTCTGGATACTCTGCCGCTGGCGCGCCTCCCCGACTCCGTGTGCCAGCTCAGCTCGCCGGAGACCTTCTTCCTGCTTTCCTGCAACTCACTCTCGTGCGGCTCCATCTGCGAGCTGCCAGCGGACTTCTGCTGCCTCACAGCTCTCACGACTCTCTGCCTTGGTGAAGTGGCGCTTCCAGCGGACATAGGACGCCTGAGTAACCTCCACACGCTGCTTCTCAGAGACAGCTACGATTCTTGGCATCTCCCGTGCTCGTTATCGGAAATCGCGTCGCTGACAAGGCTTGAGCTGAACGGGTGCAGCGTGGAGTTGCTACCAGAGGGCGTGGGGTCGCTCAGCAACCTGCGGGAGCTGCACCTCTCGTGCTGCTATCAGCTCGCGGCCCTTCCAGCGTCCCTGACGGGCCTGACTGCCCTTGAAGCTCTCTCTCTCTCGCTGACTGCAATAAGCTGGCCTCGGTGCCCACAAGGCTGGACGGCTTGACGCGGCTCAAGCGGCTGGAGGTGGCCCGATGTGACATGCTGGCACAGCCTCCTCAAGTCCTGCCGGCTTCCATAGAATGGCTGAGTTGGGGAAGTAGCTGGAGTCAGAAGCAGGCCATGGCTCTGCCAGACGTCTCCGAGCTGACAGGGCATCGGACGCTCCGCCTGGACGAGGTTTATGTGGCGTGTGGGGTCGCTGTGAGCAGGAGCCTGTCGCACCTGGAGCATTTGCATCTGAATCTGGCAGACGATACTGAGGAGCTTCCATTCGCCTTGACGTTCCTCTCCCGCCTGCGCACGCTGATTATTGACAGTGCGATGAGTCTCCAGAGGCTGCCGGCCGACATCGGGTCAGCACTGCCGCAGCTGCGGAAGCTGAAGCTGGTATATGCGTTTCATAGCCTCAACTTCCATCACATCCTCGTTTCATAGCCTTTATTTTGTACCGGTACTTCCACTACCTATATCATTGGCTTTCCTCACTTAGTAACAGAAGCATCCCTAAAGCTAAAACATTTGAATGGTCACTGGGATGGGTCATGCCTAAAACATGTCAGGTATAGTAGGGTGCATGCACGGCATCCAGTACCATATGTTTTGGAACGGCTGATATGCACGGCGTCCAGTATGTTTTGAAACGGCTGAATTTTTCCGGATATTCTGCTCTGCAGCAAGCCGCATGAACACAACCGGCCTGGAATGGACACAATAAAGTGATGAAATTCAACCATGAAACTCAACCATGAAATTCAATCATGATATTCAACCATGATATCCAACCATGAAATTCAACCATGAAATACAAACAGTCGGCACCTCAGCAGCACTAACAGCCGTGGCCACTTGCAGGAGAGAGAGCCAAGGCACCATGCAGCATCATCCGACAGACAAATGGAGTCGGGAGATTGCGACTGCCAGCTCAGCAGCATCGACCTCGACAGCCATGGCCACTTGCACTAGCGGCACCCCCATCCACCCATGAGTTGGGACCGTTCCAACTGATGGGAGGCGGGAGGGAAGCTGTACAGAAAACTACGTGACGGAGGTGAGAGAGGTAAGAGGTGAGGGAGGTGAGGGAGGTGAGAGAGGTGAGAGAGGTGAGAGGTGAGAGAGGTGAGATAGAGAGGAGAGAGGTGAGGGGTGAGGGAGGTGAGATGGAGAGTAGAGAGGTGACGAAGGTGAGAGAGGTGAGGGAGGGGAGAATGGGGGAGGTGAGCGAGGTGAGGCAAAGAGGGCATTTCAGCATGCAGATGGCAGCGGGCTTGAATGCTGGGGATGGACGGAGAGCAAGGGCCAGCCTGGAGCAACCATTTATGCGGCACCTCAAATGCCATGAAAAGCCTCGACATCGAATCTGGACACCCCTCAGGCAAGACTCAAATGCTGGCATGGGTGCAGGATAATGGTGCGAATGGCAAGGTGCGAGATGAGGGCACTGAGAGAGTGTGACCTGAGTGTGCACTGACACAGGTGCATGGTGAAGAGTGTGAGGGGGGTGAGTGAATGGAGACCTGTCCACTTGTTGTGACTTGCCTGGGCGAGGCTTGTCATGGGCCCGAGCTGCACGCGGCTGTAAGGCCCCATCTAACCTGCTCTCCATGCCATCATCCTCGCATACCCACTCCCACGCCTTCTGCTGCGCACTTGTATGTAAGCCCCCCTCTAACCTGCTCTGCCCGCTGCTCCCGCTGCTCTGCCCTCTGCTCTGCCCTCTGCTCTGCCCTCTGCTCTGCCCGCGGCTCTGCCCTCTGTTCGGCCATTTGCTGCCATGCCACGTCACCATCCACAGTCAGCACTGCCCCTCAGTCAGCGCTGCCCCTCAGTCAGCACTTCCCCCCAGCGCTGCCTGCAGCAACAGGTTCTGCAGGGGCACGCAGCGCCACTCCCGCCAAGTAATTTGGGCGCAGAGAGGAGGAGCAGGAGGCGGGAGTTGCGCCACTGATGCTGCCATTGCCGCTGCTGCCGTCACTGCGACTAACGCCGCTGGTGCTGGTGCTCGTGCTGGCGGCTGTGGGTTCAGAAACAATTGAATGATGGCAGCAGACAGGGGGAAACGACTTGGTTCGGAAAGGAGGAGCACGAGGTGGGAGATGCGGCCGTTGTCGCTGCCATTGCCGCTGTTGATGGCTCTGCTGATGCCGCTGCTGGTGGGGTTCGTGCTGACGGCTGTGGGTTCCGAAACGATTGGCTGATGGGAGAAGATAGGGAAACGTGGGTGGAACGGGAGAGAGAAAGTGGTGGAGAGGACATGGGGGGAGGGAAGGGGGAAGAGAGTAGTTACAGTATATTCACACTTGAATGGCTTCCTAATGCGGCTGAATTCAAATGCCAGGGTTGAATGGACAATGCATGAAAAGAATGATTGGAGGTGGGAGAGATGAAACAAAAGATGGGAGAAGCAGGGCGTTTGAACACTGGAGGTAAAAATAGGCGCATGTACGAGAAAACAAGGTGGATGCGGAAAGTGGGCGTACTGCTGGACGTGTTGTGGTTGAAAGCGGTGCTGTGGAGCCCCAACAGTCGCGTCTGGGCGACCAGCTGCTATGCACTGCATAAGGGGGACGGAGAGAGATGGACGAAGGGAGAGGGACGGAGAGAGATGGACGAAGGGAGAGGGACGGAGAGAGATGGACGAAGGGAGAGGGACGAAGAGAGGGACGGAGGGAGAGGGACGGAGAGAGAGGAACGGAGATAGAGGACGGAGAGTGAGGAACGGAGATGAGGACGGAGAGTGAGGGACGGGGAGTAAGGGACGGTAAGAGAGGGACGGAGAGAGAGGGAAGGATGGAGAGCAAAGGATGGAGAGAGAGGGGCGGGGAAAGAGGGACAGAGAGAGAGTGACGGAGAGAGAGGGGACGAGGAGAGAGGGCCGGGGAGAGAGGGCCGGGGAGAGAGGGACGGGGAGTGAGGGACTGGGAGAGGGGGACGGGGAGAGAGGGACGGAGAGAGAGAGGGAGGGATGGAGAGCAAAGGATGGAGAGAGAGGGGCGGGGAAAAAGGGGCAGAGAGAGAGTGACGGAGAGAGAGGGACGGGGAGAGAGGGGCGGGGAGAGAGGGCCGGGGAGAGAGGGCCGGGGAGAGAGGAACGGAGAGAACGGGAGGAAAACGGGGTGGCGATAGTAGCAGGCAAATGTAGGCAAGGAAGATGGAGGGAGACGTGGGGGGGCGAACTTAATATAGTGTGACAATCAGAATCAAACAACATCAAACAGCAAACATCAATGCTGGCAACAGGTGCGTCAAAGTCAACAATCAGGAAAATTCAGCATGGCAGTTGCGAAGTTAACTTCAGTACAGCCAACAAAAGCATCAGCACAGGATAAGGAACACACATGCTCACAGTTTACACGCATGCCCACAGCTTACACGCATGCTCACAGCTTACACGCATGCTCACAGTTTACACGCACGCTCACAGGTTGCACGCATGCTCACAGTTTACACGCATGCTCACAGCTTACACACATGCTCACAAATCGTGTTCAGAGGAGGCACTTTGAATCCACCAGGTCTTGAGGGTTGCATGTGGCAGCTTGACACGTCACAGTGGCTGAATGACGTGGCAATGCCGAGCACGCACGAGATGACGGGCCCTGGCAATGCTGTAAGAACCGCCAAGGCGGCGCCTGGACGGCGGAACCGAGGGTAAGGGGGGGGAAAGAAAGTGGAAACGGGGAAAAAGTGGAGGGGGGAGGGCGCGGGGGACGGAGCGGGGGAGCGGGGGAAAGGTGGGAGGGAAAAGGTTGACGCTAGCGGGTTAGCTAACCGAAATTTCTAACCGCTTTCTTCAAATCGGATTTTCTATCCGAATTACCCGAACCAAGACTCATTACCGGAATTGCGACGACGCTAAGGACTACTGGATGCAACAGCCTGGGAATATGAAAACGAGACGGCTGATCTGTTGAATCGGTCGCCTAGGCTCGCAGTTTTTCCTAAACCTGCCGCGGCTACGATAGGGCAGTGACGGAACATAAAGTTACTATGCCAAGCTTCACGAAGACTAATTTACAGAGCCGGGAGGAACGAATGACAAGAAGCACATACGGCGCATGGGAGAGGATGGGATGGGAGGGATCATGCGAGAGGGGTTGGAGGTGAGAAGTAGCTGAAGGGATTGGCTGAGTAAAAATTGTCGCAAGTCAGTCGCGAAAGTCACTTACTTCGCGTACCTACCTCGTCTGCTTGGCCTTCGAGTTCTTGCATCACTCCGTAACTTACCAATTCCTTCTGGAGTTCTAAAACACAGAACGTGGTATCCAAACGTCTCAGCGAAGAAGTCAACTTCGCTGATGAGCGCGAAATGGTCTTACCCACTCCACTTTTCGATAAGCCGCAGTTACAACATTACACCTTCCACGGGGTGCCCTAGGATTCAGGCTCCACCAGCATAGAACGGCTACTACCGTGTTGATCGAGAATCTAGGATTCAAAGCAGAATTACGGCGTACAACATCTAGCCATCCCACGTAGTCACTCCGTGGTGATGGGCCAGAACTGGGTCGATTCTGACGTGGAATAGCATGCACGATTGGTTGCAGAGTATGAAGTGTGTCCCCCCTCCGTTGGCGCTCGTATGAACGAGAGCAATGGAGAAAGAAAAGAGCCGTCCTTCTCAGGCCAAGGCCTGAGATTCAGGGTCCACTTGTTTCCAAGATTTAGCGGGCCTCTTGATTCTGTAACAAGGCGAAGGCGATCTCGCCGTCCGCGATTTTGCCAACTCAGCAAACTGTGATTCGAACCTGATTTTGGAACACGCCCTAAGAACATTTGGGAAATTCGAGGTTGGCACTCAACCTCGAATTGAGCGGCTCGTAATTCTCTGTTTCCAACTTTGGGAACAACTACAGAGAGCACTCTAGTGCTGGACACAACGGGGGAGAGAATTTCATACAGCGCAGCAGATTACTTGACAGCACAAGACCCTACAGCTATGATTACTTCCAGCAGTGCTCGTATTCATCATGATCAACGACGACTTGGAAGACAACAAGACAGAGAAATCTCTGCCCTGTTGAAGGTGGTTAGCTAACCACGACCTAGAACGACCTAACGCGATCTACATCGACCTAAGAAGAATCCGGCTTGACGAGATGAGACTAAGGGAAAGCGAAGACCTAAGAAGAAGATGAGCTACCTATGTTGGGGCGGTGGAAGGAGAAACAAGGCAGAGACTAGACCTGCGATGGGAAATGAAGAGAAGGAGAGGAAGCGTGCTGAAATGGAGAAGAACACAGCTGAAATGTCGAGATATCAAGTGACGTGATGAGAAGTCACGCCGGGTCAAAGGCGCGTCCAAGGAAGTCTGAAATTCGAACTCGAGGCGCGTTCGGTGCATGGTTGGATTTGGGAATTGAGCCGAGTACAACTCAGCTCGATATTAGGCGCGGCGCGAGGGCGAAATCAGAAATCCTTTTGCTTATAACTTGCTTTGTGTTTTCTGTTTTTGTATGCCTTCTTCAATGAAATTACTTGAACTTTCTGCCTTGGCGTTTTCCAGCAAATTCCTTCACATAGTTGAAGCTAGAGCTTCCTATGCATACTACTATCTAAATAGTCTTCATAGTCTAGACTAAAGGCTGCGCAAGTACAAGAGCTGGTATCAGAGCTGGTTTAAGGCGCGTTCTAGCGTTTTAAGGATAGGCGGAATTGTCTGAGTATGACGGGCGATCATACAGAGGCGAGTTCGGGCTCCTCTGTGAGCATTGGAGGCTCAGAACTACAGGCCATCCTAGCGGCGCTAGCACAAGCTAAATTGACGGCGAAGCCAACGATTGGGCTTAGCGAGGCCCAACGATTCAATGGCGAAAGCTATAGCACGTGGCGACTCAAGTTCATTCGTAGAGCGGAGGAAGTGGATCTCTGGCCGTACTATCATCCCGACAAGGAGACGGGAGAGGGCGTCCCACCATCTGCAAAAGAAAAACCAGAGGAAAATGCGTCGTTCAAAAAAAGGAGTAAGCAAGCATTTTTTCAATTATGTCATTCGGTTTCGGATAACATTGCAGTGGGGCTGGATCAATTTGCGGGAGAGGAGAACTCTGCCGAACGAGCCTGGGAGTACATGGAAGCTGCCTACCTTGGGCTTACGGATACGAACAAAGCAGCCATTCGGAAGAAACTCCTTCTATTGAGTATGGAGCCAGGGGAGAGGGTCATTGACTACATGAATCGAGCAAAGGGGTACAATGACGACCTCAAGGCTATGGGGGCAGCTGAAACTGAAGGAGAAATGATGGGGTACATCATTACTGGGCTGCCCAAGGAGTGGGAAGCAGAGATAGGGCTCCTAACCTGCAACCCACCCATGAATATGACCAAGCTGTTAGAGACGCTCCAAGCTCTGGAGCGGGTGAAAGCTGATCGGCTCAGGAAGGAGATTAGCTTGAACGGAATGGGACCATCCACCCATGCTATGGTAAACGCAGCAGCGACAGGGAAAGGATACGGAGGTTTTGGGGTGTGTTTTCAGTGTGGGAAGAAGGGTCATAAGCAGATAGACTGCTATGACAACCCGAGGAGCAGAAATTTCAAGGGAAAGTGGAGCGGTCTGCAGCAGAAGGGCTTGCAAAATGGAGGGCAGCAGAAAGAGGGGGAGTTTCGAGGCGATAACAAGGTGCAGAGAGGCGGATTTTCAGGGGCATGTCACTATTGCCAGAAAATTGGGCATAGGGCAGCCAACTGCTACTCGAACCCCAACAGCAGGAACTACCGAGGGGCAAACCAGCAGCAAAACCAACCAGCAGCAGCAAAAGCAAATGCAGTGGAAGCTGAAAACAGTGAAGCGGACGTTATTTTGGGAGGAGCTCACAAGGCAAACGTGGCTAGGGCATCGGGAGTGTGTTTGATGGCAAAGGGGTTTGGTGAAGCTGCGTGGTTCATGGATAGTGGCTGCACGCAGCATATGACCAATCACCGTGAATGGCTTACAAATCTGAGGGACTCCAACGTACCCTATGTGCTGTTGGGTGATGAAGGAAAACTGAGTGTGAAGGGAGAAGGAGAGTTGCTGCTCCAGGGAGAGTATGGGGAGCTGAAACTGGAAAAAGTGCTCTTAGTGGAGAAGCTCTCACTGAATCTGATCAGCCAGTCACAACTTGACAGCACGGGGTGCAAAACCTTCAGTGACAAGGGGAAGCTGTGGGTTTTTGATGAAAATTGGAAGGTGGTTGCAGAAGGGAACAGAAATCAGGGATTGTATGAAATGAAGCTGAGGAAGAAGGGGCTGGAAGCAGAGAATGCCACCTACATGACTCCACTCGAAGGGGACCTAGCCAGGGAGGAGTTGAAGGCTCGGCTTGGTGGCTTACCTGTGAAGGAGCTGCAGCAGGAAGCTTCAGCCATGGTGGTTGGGGTGGAGAAGGTTGAATTGGAGACCTTGCATAGGCGCATGGGGCATGCAAGCGTGGATAGGATCAAGGAGTTGGTTAAAAAGGGCATGGTAAAAGGAGTGACATTGAAGGAGGGGGCTGGAAGCAAGGGAAAATGCAGCAAGTGTGTTGAAGGTAAAATCACAAAATCCCCACACCCCCACCACCAGGTGCAGGAGCCTTATGGCACCTTGGACATCGTAGCAGCCGATGTGTGTGGGCCTATGAGGGTGGCATCACGACACGGCAGCCGCTACTTCGTTACCTTCACTGATTTGGGAACGAGGCACACATGGGTGACGGAGCTGAAAGATAAGGCAGAGGTGTTTCCTAGCTTCGTGACTTGGATGGCGGAAGCGGAGCGACAAAGTGGGAAGGTGCTGAAAGTTTTGAGGACAGATAATGGTGGGGAGTTTACCGGGGACCTGTTTAACAAGTTTTTACAAAGTAAGGGCATCCGACGGCAGCTGACTGTACCCTACACTCCACAGCATAATAGTGTAGCGGAGCGGGTGAATCGTTCTCTGCTAGACAGTGTGAGGAGCATGCTGGCTGACAGTGGGCTGCCACTGAAATTCTGGGGTGATGCATTAGCAATGGCCTGCTGGTCCAAGAACCGATTGCCTACCAAGGGACTTCGGGCAGATGTGACTCCTCACGAGGCATTCTATGGGAGGAAGCCGAATCTGGGGCTTGCACGGGTGTGGGGGAGTATGGTACAATACAGGGAGCCTGCTGGTCCGGATCATAAGTTGCTGCCAAGGACTCAATGGGGGATCAATCTTGGTACCTGCCCAGTGAGCAAGGGGTGGGTGATCAAGGATGTGGTTTCGGGGAAGGTCACAATCACCCGGGATGTTATTTTCTACGAGGAGGTGAGCTACCTGCAGTGGAAGGGGGTAGAGAAAGAGATTGCAGCAGCAGGGACAGCAACTACATCGGACAAGGTAGAGGATCTCTTGGAAGAAAAGGAGAGTGAGGGAGTTGGTGATGAAAAAGATGAGGAGATCGAAGATGTGGAACGGGCAGATTCAGTTGATTGGGTGTGGGAGAAGGCACCAGCCAGGGAAGCGGATGAAAACAAGGGAGTGGAGATAGCAGGGGAGCAGCCAAGCAAGGAAGTAGCTGAGGGTGTCAACGATGAAGTGGCTAGAGAAGAGAGAGATGAAGAATCAGCAGCTGAAGGAAGTAGCGATCCCTGGAAGTTCCTGAATAGTGGTGACAACCAGGCAGCAGAGAAGGAGATAGAGGACTTACTTGAGGAGGGCGCCATCGTGATTGGAAGGGAAGTAAAGGATGGAGAAGGGAAAGCATTGACGGATTCCAGTGAGGAAGAGGTCGAATCATCTGCAGAGGAGTTGGGGAAAGGAAAGAGGGTGAAGAAACCAAACCCTCGGTATGCGCAACTGCTGATGACGTGCTGGAAGGACATCCATACCCATCTCCTACTCTCTGCCACAGCAACTGACCTAGTCTCCAATGAAGGGAAAGTGAGTCACAACCTGCCCAAAGAACCAGTGAGCATCGAGGAGGCGCTCGAGGGTCCAGAAAGGGAGCGGTGGAAAGCGGCAATTGAGGAGGAGTTGAACACATTGGCTGAAAGGGGCACATGGGAACTCGTGCCTATGCCGGAAGGGAGGAAAGCCGTGGGGGTGAAGTGGATTTTTAAAATCAAGACCGGAGATATGGGGCAGCTGGAAAGGTTCAAAGCAAGGCTTGTAGCCAAGGGCTACACTCAGGTGGAGGGGAAAGATTACCAACAAAATGAGATCTACGCTCCAGTGAGCAAGTTGGCAACGGCGCGGGTCTTTCTCAAGGTGGTAGCAGCAAGAAAATACTTCATGGTGCAGCTGGATATTAAAAACGCGTTTTTGTATGGGGTGTTGAAGGAGGACATCTACCTCGAACAACCACCAGGGCATGATGACGGCTCAGGCAGGAAATGCAAGCTCAAGAAGGCTCTATACGGGCTGAAGCAAAGTCCTAGGGAGTGGTACATGGCGATGGATGAGCGGCTACTGCAAGGGGGATTTCATAAAAGTGAGTGTGATAGAGCATTCTACTGGAAGGGAGAAGGGAAAGAGAAGGTGTTTTTGGTGCTATACGTGGACGACATCTTGGTGGCAGGGGCGTTAGAGGAGGAGGTAGAGAAGGTGTGCACTCACCTTGCGGAAGTTTTTCAAGTCAAGCAGATTCCGAGGACCACACTCTTTCTCGGCATGAATCTGGAGCGGCGTAAGGAGGAGAAGAAGATGTTCCTATACCAGCAGAAATATTGCAGCAGGGTGCAGCAGAAGTTTGGCAACGGCTACACGAAGGCGACTTCTACACCATTGAGTGGGGTAGCTGAAAATGACAGTGAGCGGGAGGAAGATGTCAACCAATGGGGCAGCAAGGAGAGAGCTCGGCAAGTATATCAGTCCATGGTGGGGTCCATAATGTATCCGGTCTCATGCACGCGCGTTGACATGGCATACGCAGCTAGCTACCTTGGGCAACAAGTGCAGCAACAAGGGGAGAGAAAATGGAGAGAGATGAGGAGGACTATCGACTACCTACTGCAACATGAAGATGAGGGGCTGTTATTCGAAGGAGGTGAAGAGACCTTGGAGTTAGTGGGGTATGCGGATGCTTCACACGCATCCGACAGGCAAACAAGGAAGGGAGCATACGGTTACGTGTTTCTGCTCGGCGGGACAGCAATCATGTGGCAAGCGAAAAAGTTGAGTGACATAGCGCTCTCTAGTGCGGAAGCGGAGTACATGGCTCTGTTTTACGCATGCCAAGAGGGGGTTTGGCTGAGACGGCTACTCAAGGAGATGGAAATCAAGGTGAAAGGGCCGACGGTGATACGCACGGATAGCAAATCTGCCATCGACTTGGCTCACAACGACAATTGGCACGGGAGGACCAAGCATATGGATGTGAAGTATCATTGGGTGCGTTCAAAGGTGAGTAGCAAGGAGTT